ATACCTCAAATCTTTTAGCAAATTTCAAAGCTTTGTAGATGTCACCTTCAGCACATTGAATATTGTTTGTTTGCTTTTTTCAGATCAAATATTCCCGTGCGACAGCAATCCATGCCAAAATGGCGCCACTTGTAAAAATGATCCTAAAGACATTTCCAAATACAACTGTCAAGGTAATTGTAACGTTAAGTCCGCTTATTTTACTTAAAATTTAGAATACATGGGTCATTCCTAAACTAATGTTTAAGGTACCCAACTAATATTAAAGGCCCCGTTAGCTCCAAGGGTGAATAACGCTTTGCACTAGATAAATCTCTTGGCGGATAGATACTCTCCTCTTATAATAGATTTTAAAGGTCAGAATACAGGAAGTCTTATACAAATATTGGTTTTACCTTTCAATGGCATCATTTTTATTATGTAAGACCCTCGTCACTTTGCAATGTAACAATGCAATTTTCATACAGGGAACGATTCCAGCGGTCTGAAAAAATGCCTGATCCGGCAGAAATTAGTTTGTCCACGTGGTACAGTGTGCTCGGATTTTTCTTTAACTTAGAATTCTGGCAGATGTTATGAAACAAATTTTCCTGAAATATCTTTCAAGTGCAACTCCGTCTATGAATCACTAAATTGTAAACCGTTCGGAATGTTACGCTTTCTTATATCAGTTCCATCTTTATGGCGATGATTTTTTTCAGTTGCGCAGACCATTTGTGATACTGATAAACCATGCCTCAATGGATTGAACTGTTCAAGTAACACAAGAAGCCCTGCTCAATACAATTGTGATTGCGGAGACTGGTTCAAAGGCAAGAACTGCGAAGGTATTTTTTTAAAACTCGGTTCGTCTCCTATATAATGACCTACAATCCTGTTACAGTTTAGCCGCTGTGTGAATACCTCCTTTTGAAATATGAAACTGTTCGAAGTTAAACTGCTTAAATAAAAGAATTGAAATTATCATCAGTGTTATAAATAGTTCTCAATGAATATGTCGCCTGCCACGAAAGTCTCATAGCTT